TTTTTTTCTTCTTCAGCTACCTAACTTCTGCTTTTTTCTTCAGAAAAACCCTGATAAAACTTTCGTGATCTTACCTGGCTAACTAAATTAAAACTAGAAGATATTTCTGACTATTTAGATAAAACTCATTATGTAGATACATTCATGCAGGCTTTTCAGTGACAATATTTTGCAAGATAAAGCTTGCAGCAATTTTGCATCTCAAATCTAGGATTGTCTAAAAAGTATAGCTAAACCGATTCAGAAGACAGTGTGCTTTATGTCGTTTCAGAGGTTTTTATTAGTCAAAAGTTTGCAAAATCGCCAATATTTATAACTCTGGAGTTTTTATGTTAAAAATGTCGACTGAAAGAGACCTTTTAATGGTTAAAAATTTAATATTGGCTTCAAGAGGGCTTTCGTAGGTTCAGGACTCTTCCTTTGGTGAGCATATTTCGGGAAGTTTATTTTATTTTATGTTTCCTTTTTTTTTTCCTTCGACTAACTTTTTTTTGACGGATTACATAGGTCGATGGTTTTTTTAGTGAGGCATGATTTCGGTGAAGTTGTTTTTTCGGTAACTGATTTTTTTTCTTTAGTCAACTTTCTTAGGTCCGAACAAATCTTTTTTTTTTTTTTTTTTTCTTCCTCAGCTACATAACTTCCTTCTGCTTTTTTTCTCCTTGGATTTCAAAAAAAAATTCTCGTGATTTTACCTGTAGCATGTCAGGTTTATTAGTATTACTACTGTAATTTTTTGCTTTTGGCTTTTTTTCTTACTCTTTTTTTCTTCCCGTTCTTTTTTCTTCACCGTTCATTTTTTTTTCTTCACATTCTTTTCTTTCCCGTTCTTCTCTTTTTTTCCTGCTCTTCTTCCCCATTCATTTCTTTCTTTCAGCCCTTTCTTCTCTACTTTTTTCTTTATCCCCGTCTTTTCTTCCTTGTTGTCACAATCTATTTCGGTACCCCAGCAATTCGTAGCGCGTAGCTAACACACAAAATTTTTCTGGCACGTGACTACGTCACAAACACATGCACCTTTTTTGT